TCCGATCTATTTTCAGATCTGGATTCAGCAAAATTGTTCTTTTCGTGTGTCTTTTCAATCTCTAACATAGATAATATTACTAAGTGATCACTGCGCTTACAATAAAGTTTAGTCAGAGCCGTTTAATTCGATATTATATTTATTAGGTCTATCTCTATTAGTTTACAAGATAAAAAGGGGTGGCCACTTATACGGGGACACCCATATGTAAGTGTATGTGTATGTGTGTGTGTGTGTGTGTGTGTGTGTGTGTGTGTGTGTGTGTGTGTGTGTGTGTGTGTGAGAAAGTTTACGGAATTCTCTTCGTTTCTGAAATTGTTCAGAGTGAAACTAAATAATTTGAAGAGGTGCTCAATATTATTGTACAAGGTGCGTTGTTAGGAAACTGATGTATAGACGGATTTGTATAGCGGAAATTAGTTGTAATACCCACATATAACAGACAAAGTGTATTGTAACGCAACGAAAACTACACGCACATTCTCCTTTTTTTGTTTTCAAGCAGAAATGCCCGCTGCAAGTTTCTCTCTCTCTCTCTCTCTCTCTTTCTCTCTTTCAACTTCGTCAAAGAGAGAAAGATAAAGGTAGTTATCGTCAGGACACGTGGGGCACTTTAAACTCGTGATTACGGGGACACGAAATGATTACGTGAGAAAATTACAGGTAAAGCAAAAAAAGTTTACGGCAGAGACACAACTCGGCAGTACCTTAAACAGCGGCAAGTTTAATGCTACGGCTTTCTCAACCTCCTTAAAAAAAAAGAAAAAAAGAAAAATAGAAGTATAATTATCATCATGAGGGTGTGGCGCTCTAAATCCTGCCGGTTAAACGATTACGCGGCAATTATTATACAAAGTTGAAGCGCGTAATAAAGTTCTTTTTCTTCTTTTTCTCGATGTATAGAGAGTTACGATGTGCTGTGTGCATGCGAGACGGGAGGTCTGACGTCGTCGATACTCGCGCGAAGTGCGAGGAACAGAGCGAGAACAACACATATCGATCGATCGGCCGCGCATCCGTGATCTGCTTCAAGAATCAATTTGGTTTGCAAAGCAGCACGATATTTCCATAAATCCCGGTGAAATACCGTGTGTATATCGGGCGTATATACCGCGCGCGACGCGCGATCCTCTCGTCCCTTCCCCTTCTAGCCCCTCATCGTGGCTGGGATTCTTTCTTTCCGCCATCAATCTTTCGATTACGTTCATTCGGGCTTACTTCCGGCAATTAAGCGTCGCGCCGTGGTTGGCTTTCGTTCGGGAATGAGCGTCGGGGATCGGGAAATATTTTCCCAACGCGGGGATATCCCGCGGAAAATTTCGATCTGTCTCGCGGGAGCACCGGCGGATAAGCACCGCGCCCGGTAACGAGCCTGGAGACGCAGAAGGTAGCTAAAAAGGGGCAAAAAAAAAGGGGAAAAAAGGAAGAGACAGGAACGGAAGAACGGAAGAAAAAGGAGGAAGGCAACGATGGCGCACCGATGGCGGAAGGATGAAATAAAGGGAGGACGCTGGCGGCGACGGCGACAGGAGTGGAAGCGAAGTCAAGTGTATACTTACAAATTTAGCGGTCTGCGCCGACAGCATGTCCGCGTACTGTATTAGTGCCTGGAAGGAGCCTGAAACACAGAAGCGATAAAAACCGTGAGACCGCGTCGTCCGTTCGTGAATTTTACGAGTCTCGCCGCACAAAGTCGCGCTCGAGATCGCCGAAAGAACATGCGCCGCGCGCGCGCGCGGCTGAAATGAAATTTATTTCGCGAAATGGTAATGTCACGAGAGCGACATTGAGCGGCGAAACAGATCATAATTAATAAGTTTTATATAATAATGTAATTAATAATACATTTTAAGGAGCAGAGACGCAACGCGCTCGATTATATTCTCATTCCGCTTCCCTATATAAATGGCGTACGTACGCCGCGCGATTTTGCATGATTTCCGCTACGCGGAAAACAGCGACCCCGGCAAAAGTGGCCCCGGAGTCTTTTCCCCGTAATCGCGAGTCGCGAAGCTCCAAGGTATAAAATAAAAGGCGCAAAAACCGAAAAATATGAAAATTACGAGATATTCTGAAACGCGTCGGGAACGCAAGGCGCGCGGAACAAAACACCATCGAGAATGCGGCTCTAAATGCAAAATATGTAAACTCTTGAAAATTTGATTCGGGGGGCAGAGAACACGGGGTGTTGTGTGTTTTTTTTGCGTGTGTTATTTCGCGTTAAATGCGCGCGGTATTTGAGGTACCGACCGACCACGGGATACAAAAAGCGGTGATTTGTTAATTTAGTGCGCGCGCGAGCGCTGCGAGAAACTAACTCTGTCATGATAATACGTTTTTCCCGTGCGGCCGGAAAGCCGGAATTGTTTCGTTAGCAGCGTTGACCAAAGTTCCAGCCGGCGGCTACGCTATTTCATTTTCGAATTTGCTCCACCGTGATAATGGAACTCTTTACAATAATACGCTAAAGCCCGAACACGTTCACGCGCGCGCGCACACACACACACACACACACACGATGGCCGCAATTTCGCTGACAGGGAACCTTTTATTTCTCTGAATCCAGAACCATTCCGTACGTAGGATGATTTCATGCGAATTAAGAGAAATGTTTGATTAAATTTGCCGCAGCAAATATGGATATAATTACGTACGACGTTAAAGTGAAATATTAATAAAACGCTGGAAAATTAACGGGACTGCCGGACCCAGTCCCAGGTCAAAGGTTTTTTCCACCCCCGAAAATATACCAATTAATGTAGATTAAAAGCGTATAGCGAGACATCGATTGACATATCTGTATAGAAAAAAAAAATAACAATTCTTTTATTGATGTAATTACTTTTGGACGTTTAATTTACCGTGTTCATTCTGGTATTGAAGTGAACGATTGTGCGAATAAAATATGTCGCGAAAACGCGTCTACCCACACGCGCGAGAACTTCGTGCGCCACTACGCCCACCCACGGTCGTGATACGCGGCAAGGGTAAACAATTACAGAAGAAGGCAAACGTTAAAATCGCCACAGGCACGTGGACGTTTTACGAAGTTAATACTACCGGAGTGCCCGGACCGCCCGCGCCGCGTCGCTCGCTTTTCGCAAGTCTGGTCGTACGAAGGGTGTGCGGCGGTCGGGTTTATAATTGCCATTAAATCTCAATTAAACGAAACGTCGCAAGGCAGCCCCGGCAATTGCAATTTCGCGAGTTTTAATCTCGCATAACGTACGTCAAATTCGCGCAACTCCGACTGTGCCGCGCGAGCGCGAGCGCGCGCGCCCTGTGATATTTCATTACGCGGCGCGCGTATGATACGAAACAAAGGATCGGCCCGCGGCAATGTTATTTAATTTTCGAATCTGAATTGCGGAAGTGAAAAAGAGCTCTCACTCTCTCTCTCTCTCTTTCTCTCTCACCCCCGGCGGCAATGGAGAGCCCCGATGTTACGAGCGTCAGAAAAAGGAGCATGACGCGCGCGACCTGCTCGCGCTTTTTATTCTACGACAATCGCGATCCTGCCTCACCCCTGGATGGAATGGCCGTTGATAATCGCGATGATAACGTTTACTTTACTCGCAGACGCAACCTCGTGCCTCAGTAACCGAACGCAGAAATTTTCATTGAAAAGTTTTTTATTGCAATCCTTCGTTTGAAAATACCGAGGCTCGTCGCGAGCCGGAATAATATGGTAAAGCGGGATAATTTGCTTTTGTATCCCCGCCGACAATTTTGCTTTTGTGCTATTTACATCGTCGGAGTAATCCGTTTTGCGTTATTTAAAAGGTAATTGAAATATCGTCTGAAATTTCCTCCGCAACTCGCGGAGTGACGTTCCCGCGTAAGGGAAAACAGTTCGCACACAAAATTGGAAGGAGCATAAGGGCCGACCAACTCCGATTAACTTTTAATCGACGATTAACTCAATCGCCCATGTAACGAACTAAATTGTATTTGTTATCATTTTGATGTTAAAATGATGACATTTTTGCCGACATTTTGACGCAAAAATGATGATAAATAATGTTAGTTCGTTACTATCTGGATTAAGTAATTCGTCGATTAAAGTTAATCGCAGTTGAAATGATCCTAAAGGCCAAATCACACTAGCGATTGCCGATTGGATTGCGATTGTATTGGCGATTGGCGATTGAAATAGAGCACTGTCTAAACGGCAGTCGCTATAATCTCAATCGGTACTGCTTTATTTTGATTGGTTAAAAAGTAATCGCCAATCGCAATCGTAATCCAATCGGCAATCGCTAGTGTGATTTGGCGTTAAGGCGTTGTAAGGCATTTGCAAAAAATCCTCGCGCAATTAGCGAATTCCTCGTATAGCAAAGTACACTTGCAATATTTCTCGTCGACTACACATTCCGGTCCAGTTTAGATACTTTGAGAAAAATGTTTTTATTATATCCTTTGACTATAGAAATAGACTGCCAGTGGCTAACTTCAAACTTGTAGCCCAATGTGTTGTGACGCCATCGATCAAATGAGTAAATCAGGATGGATACTCAAATTTTGTAAAAGAATTTCCTAAAAATTCCCAGATTTTCCGGGAATTTTATTCAAAATTCCAGGTAAGATTAGAGAATTTCTTAATACAGCTTTAAAATAAATTAGGCACTAAAAGTTTCAATAACGTATATAGTACTTGATATGTGAATTTAATTTTCTCATATGTACAATAGTTACATCTCCATACAAAATTTTTCGAATGTAACGAAAGATTTTGTATGGAGATGTAACAACATATGTGAAGATTAAATTGTTTCACAATGTTCTGCATTATTAGACTCTTAATGCCTGATTTATTATTTCTGAATTATCGTTTCTTAGATTAAGAATCTTTATATAGTACATGTCAATTTTAAAATAAATTAACTTTCAATATCAGGGGTCTTTAATAAGAAGCCACGTTTACTTTCTAAAGGGATAAAATTAAAATTAAAAATAAAATTCAAAAAATTTCCCTGCGTATTAGTAAAATTCCATGAAAATCCATGATTTTTAAGGATAAAAATGAAATTCCCTGCACGGAAAGAACGATTTTGTTGAAAGATCTAAAAATTTTGCTAAAAACAGATCTGAAAATAATTTTTTGTTGAATTATCAAAATAATTTGTTGGAATGTTAAAACTGGTAAAGCATTGCTGATAAAGCATTGAATGATAAACTGATAAGCATTGCTATAAAATGTTTTGATATTCTAGCAATCACTTCGATTTTCGCACAAAATTATTTTGATTATTGAACAAAAATTATTTTCAGATGTGGATTCAGCAAAATTGTTCTTTCCGTGTGCGAATTCTAGGTTTTCCCGGTTTTTCCCCGTATTACCTACTCTGGTAAATACTAAATATACGTCAAATATGAAATTTATATAATTACATTTAACAGAATAAAACATTTATTGCTAGTGATTATTAGTAATTAGTGAGTAGTTGGATTAGCTTTAATATATGTATAATTTTATTTCTGATATTATCGAGAGTTAATTAAATTATTTAATATACATATATTTTCAATTTATATGTATAATTAGTTAAAAATATAATAAAAACCGATTTCCCGATATTTGATCAATGAGAACCTAAATCTTAGAGATGTTGAATTCGTGGGATTTATACCGAAATCTTATGAGAAAAGTAGAGAGGACCGGCAAGTCCATATTTTTATAGTCAAAGATTACATCAACAAAGATGAACCAACAAAAATAGCATTTTGGTGAGGCCAAACAGAATTTCTGGTTTATAAGAACATTTTTCTCAGTGAAACGCAAACTATAACAACGCAAACTTCGCGGCCTTTTGCAGCCAGGGGACCCCGCCGGCGATCCTCGTTGATGCTGCTTGAATTCAGGAAAGGACCCGGAGGCACGTGCGTGTACGCAGCCACGCGGAAGCTCGACATCACGACTCGCGCATCGCTTGTTACGAGAGACGCAGCAAACACCGACGGCATACAATCGCGCACCGACGCACGCGGAATATAATGATGCACCTCTCGCGCGCGCTCATCCCGCTGCAAACGTGAATTAGTAACACGCTCGCCGAGTACGTGCTGTGGGCTCTCCTCGTATCTTTTGTACAACAAGTGCACCGTAAAGAGATTAACGCGCGTTATCGCGGCTCCTCGCTAACGATTTCGATCGGGAGTGAAAATATTGAGACGTTGGAGTTCACCGACATTTCAAACGTATCTTCACTGAAAGAAAATTTTTGATATTAGTAACTACATATTTACAAAGTATAAATTTACGTATTAAGTATTAATTTAAGTTTAAATTTTTATAAAAAGTATATTTACAAACTATAATTATTACTACTATAATGTTAGTAATAATAATTATATGTATAGCTTTATCAACAAATATATATATAATTAACATCAACAAAATTTTGAAACTTATACATTATAGTTATTATTACCATAAAAATGATTGCAGTTATCATTGTTTAACTATAATTTGTAGTAATTTTTGGGACCAACTATATTATATGATTGGTTCCCGAAAATGACTGTAAATTATAATTAAATAATAATCGCAACAAATTTTATGGTAATAATAACTATAATGTATAGTAAGTTTTAAAATTTGTTGATATTAACCTAACCTATATATTTGTTGATAAAACTATACATATAATAATTATTACTAACATTATAGTAGTAATAATCATAATTATAGTACTTTGTAGATAGTTACAAATACCAATAATTTTTCTCTCATTGTCAGTGTTCCGGTATTTTGTATCCCTCGTTTTGTTACGCCGCGTTAGAAAAACTTATATTATTTGTAAATTATTGACAATTCTCGCGATTTAAATGATGAACGCTGCCGCCGTCGTATTTTCACGCGTCGTGCATTCGTCCCGATTTCGCTTTCGGGATGAATTTCAGAGAGAGACACTCTTTGGGGCACTCGGGCGCGATTGCGAATGTACTAACGGCGCCAAGTGCGCGCAACGACGACGGCCGGAACGCACTTGAAGCACGTTGAAGTACTAAAATGCCGTGTGTATGTGTGTGTGTGTGTGTGTGTGTGTGTGGGGCAGGGACAACCCGTCTACCAGCGAGAGCGGAATATGTACAGCTAGCGAGAGAATGCCGCGCGAACTCCGCTCTCTCCCGCTCTCGATTCTTGCCTTTGGCACGTCGATTCTAGGTTGTAACACAATGACAATACGCATATTTAACGCGGTACTTACTGTTCTTTGTGAAGGTGACGATCTTCAGGACCTTGCCGAAGCGCGTGAATATCTGCAACAGACAAAGCAGTTTCGTTTGTAAAAAAACAAATCGATAATAACTTATTGTAGTCCAGGGGGATCCCAGACCGGCACGTTAAAATATTGAAAATGTTTTTATAAAGACGTTTTACGATATGACGTGCAAAAGACATCTTGCGTCCCGATTTTGGACACGGTGCGCTGTCTGGGATCTCGTCTCTCGTGACTTTCATTTCTCAGATAATTTAATCGGCGTGGAAAATATACTTACAAAAGACGAATTCACCCCGATAATCGTAATTATGTTTCGTTTACAATTCGATAACGAAATTCAAGGCGACGAGTCCGCCAGGCGTTTTGCGAAAAACTACCTCTATTGAGCCGTGTAATTAACGTCCGAGAGTACAATTGCCATAATCGTATCGCCGCGCACATATATGTATGAGCATCGCACGGGCGCGGGACGGGACAACGTGACCGACGAGAATTACGGGTTCCGGGAAACCGGCGCGGCGCGGCGGTATTTTGCAGCGACAAAATTACAAAATAATTGATGTGGATATTACGACAAAGCGATTTATTTCGGGGCAACGGGCTGCAAAACGGGGCGCGGCATGGATTATCAGACTTATAACGCGGCAATTATCCTCGGGTAAAAGCAAGCTATTGGAATCTCCCCCCCCCCCTCCTCCTCCCTTCTCGGTAAAACAGCTCGTAATTACGATAACCGGACTGGCGGGCGCAGTTCTAAAAAATTGATTTGGTACACAACAACAACAGGCATGTGCAGGCGCGCGGCAGCCGCAGAATGGCATTCTGCATAAATACCGATGGCGATATACAAAGGTCCGGGGTGTACGCTCGCATGAATTTTCAAAAGCCTCTTTGCGCGCGAGCGGCGGTGGCGGCAGCCGGCGACGGGAGCCCAGGTATCACGCAATATTTACAGGCGCGTATACGGCGCGCGGTGTCGAGCCGCGGGCTAATAATCGCGCACACGGCTCACGTCAAACCGCCCCGGCCGTCATTGTCATATATTTGGCCGACAATGCCCGATGATCACATTAATGCCCGCCGAATGCAAATATTTGGCCCCGCGGTATAACCGTCGCGCGCGCACGCAACGGTCAAACAACTGTGTACCGCGCCTGGTTTCTCCTGCGGCCGCCGCCCGCTCGCTCCGTGCGCGACGTAAACGCGCGCGCTTGCGGCAGCGCGTACCGGGGATTAATGATTTTTTAATCCGTCTCGGGCTTTTCAGCCCCATTCGATTGCGAATCCATGCTTTCCTTGTTAAACGTCAATATGGGTTTCATCATTGTCTCGGTCTCGCGTCAATTGGCGGCTCATTCGGCTGCATCAGGCGGTGGCTCGACAATGGCGTTGAATTTAAACGTTTCCGCGCGCGGGGCTATTTTCCCCGACCGCGACACGACCGCCGAGATCGTCGAAAGGCCACCCGAGTCCGCCGAGTAAATACGTAAAAAGCACGTAAAAGCAGCGTGACCGCGAGGAGAAATGAAAAATTTCGCGACGCGGAGGGGGTGGAAAACGCGCTAATGCGAGCTGCGTTTTAGCTACCGAATATTCAATATTGCACGCGCGGACGAAGGCGCGTATCGAATGAGAAGTTTATATTTCGCCCGCTAACGCGCGACGATAAATCCGCGAAATTGAAAATATAGAGAAACGCGCGGCGGGCATCGCCACGCCGCGCCGGAAGAAGAGAGACGAAGAGGGGGGAGAAAAAAAAACGAGAAACGATCGCGCAATATCGCGGAACGTCGCGCCGCGGAATATAAAACCGCGTACGAGGATGCATTTCTCGCAGGCCCCGCGCGCGGCTCATACGCTCCGTGCGCGCGCGCGCGCGCTCTTTGAGATCGCGCTTCCCTTTGACCTCGCGTGTGGCACGCGTGGTATAACGCGTAAAATAAATTTGCGAGCTTCACAATCTTCGCAAAGCTCTCTCGCATTCGAAATTGCCCTGTTGCGGAAACTCGCGAAGGCGTTTGTTCACGTGAACAACGTGACGATACTTTCTTCGACTCCCGCGCGTCACAAGCTCCCATCTTTGCTTCCTTTCTCTCTTTTGTATTTGAAAAAATTGCACATTTCAACAATTCGTTCGGAGCAAGAAAGAATCGCGTAAGAGACGTAATTTGCGGGAACGCAAACTGATTTTTAAAACTCGCTAATGAGTGCGGTACTTAAATGTCCGAGGTAAAGAGGACGCAAAAGCGCGCGGCAAATGCAGTGCATTCTCTTTGATAAATTAATTCTCAATTTTTGTGTTATCGCACGCAAGCGCATGTATACGCATCTTTCAGCGAAACGCAGGAAATGAAAAAAATAATGTAATAATGAATGGAATTCTAATGCTAAAAAAGAGGGACGGGGAGGGGAAGGAGAGGGGTACACACAACGTGAAAGCGGCACGGAAGTATGTGAAACACGCGCCGCGGGTTTTACACAACGCTTCCGTAATTATAGTGAGCTCCGGGAGAGAAAAGACGTATGCAACCGTGCTGCATCTCTGATGCGCACGCGTACACCAATTGGGACAAAGACTTTTCGCGTGCCAACGGGCGCAGCGGGACTCGAATTAGAACGAGGCTTTTTTCCCCTTCTCTTTTGTTAAAGCAAGTCGACAAAGCGGCGTTCTCCGCGGTGCGCAGTACCCACGCGTATTGCGAATCATCGGGAGAATAAAAATTTCGAAAAAAAAAATGGAATTCTTTAATCAAATCCGACACTGCGAATATATTTTCATATAGAGTGTACAAGGAAAATTCAATGCGGTCGCATTGCGTTTCAACACATTCTTGAATAAATTGTGTAAGATATATTATAAAAAAAAAATGGTCTTGCAAATAGAGAAAATTTTTTGGTTGTGAAAAATTAACTAAAGTAGATAAATGTTCGTAAAAATACAGTGATGCCGCATATGTATGGTACATAACCAATCTAAAATGATAGAGATACAGAATTTATATCTGAACTGTTCGAAATTTAGAAAGAAAATTTTTCTATGGTGCCTATTCATATTTTTTATTTATATTGTTAAAGCCAATCATACTTGTTTGTAAAGTTTGACTACAGTCCGATTTTTCATTTTCTGGTTAACTTGTGGTTTAAGTTTAACCAGATGTTGTGATGTAAAATTATTTTACTATCAATGATTAATCATTGGACTAATGGTTTTGTAGTGAATTTTAAAATTACAACTACAAAACTATCAGTTTAATGAATAACCATAAATAACAAAATACAATTTTTACATCACAATCAGATAAAATTTAAGTTAAGTATGTAAACCATAAGTTAACCAGAAAATGAAAAATCGGGCCTATAGTACACAGAAAAGCTATAGCGGCAAGAGACAAATGAATACATTTTCTAGAAGGTATCGCTAGAATATTGCTGCTATAAATTCTATACATGACAAACAATATTTTAGCAGATACAAAAAATAGCTATACATTTTTGTTGTGACATTTAGAAATCTACCTACATCAGCAAAACATTTTTTGGGTGTATATTTTCTTCGGGAGACTTCATGAGAGAGTATTATTGTCATTAACTGAATTTTAATTCTAGAGATCAAGTAATTAATAATAGAACTGTAGATATTAAAAGAAATAAAATTCTGCGATGTCTTGGTAATTTCCCGTTCTTTCATCTGAAGAATTTTTCTCACCAGACCGAAGCTTTGCAGGTAGATGCTTGTTTTCGGATGTTGCGCAATTGGTGCGCCTCTTAAAATATTTTCTTTCGCCTGTTTGTACGTTGTAACAATTAACTTTTTCCGATAAAGAGCGAGCAAATTTTCCAAAGAGATCTTTAAAAATCGCTTGAAACGTACGAGACTGCCGCGTTCACGGGGGAGTAGCGAAATTTTCCCGAAAATAAAGGCCGAGTATAATCATTACGGCCTGCCCATTAAAAAGAGGTATCGATAACGATAAAAAATCGACGCATTTCCGCCGAGTAGATCCTCCTCATTATCGTTACGTTTACGTTCCGCTGCGAGCAATGAGAATCATTTTGTATACGGTAATTGTGCGCGGAATTTTCGGTGCAGCAATTACATGTGCGCGCGCGCACGTGTGTGTGTGTGTGTGTGTGTATGTGTGTGTGTGTCAGCTTGTATATATGTTACACTTTTGTACAACAAGAGAGTTCTCCCTTTCTTTTTAAACGCGCGAGAAAAAAGCACCGACGATAATGCAGCGCGTAATGTAACAGACACACCTTTGACTGAAGCCGCGCGCAGGGAAATATTATATTTCTATACGGAACTCTGATGACGCACTGAGATACGCGCGTCAGCGGATGCTGCGCGCGGAGTCGAGTACCTCGCAACGCCGCGGCTCGCATTACATATCAAATAGAGAATTCGATTATCACGAAGTCCATTATCGCGCGGATGTTAAGCTCGGAGATTGTAAGCTGAGTAAATTAAAAGTAGATGGATCGTACGCGCTTGCGCGCGCGCGCGCGGACGGATTCAGTTGGGCCGGCGGTGGCCGAGGCTTGCGAAGGCGGAAAAGGTGATAACGACGATAATGTTTAGAATATATGGATTCCGGTTCCATCCATTACGTTCGTACATCCCCACAGCGTCCATTACAAGGCCGCAAGGCGCGCCCGCCGTAATAATAGCTCGGCACGGTGCGCTATACGCGCGCATTTCTCCCTCTTCTCTCCTCCGCTCGCAATCGCGCGCGCGGCTGCAGCTGCAGCCGCGGTCGGCAACTGCAACTGCAACTGCATCCCGCGCGCGCGTTTTCCCCGAGAGCGGTAAACGGCGCGCGCTATTTACAACGCGTAATACGAAAAGCAGTGCAGCGGCGGCGGCGGCGGCGGCAGGCGGCAGCGGCGTCGTCGGGCCGTACATGTTTTTATCCGTTTTCCGATAAAACGGAAAATATTTCAATTTTGATGTTCGAATTTTTGCCGGTCGTGTTTCCGGCTCGGGGGGTGCATGCGTCCGACCGAAAACAGTTCGATCACGAGCGGATATGAAGT